GGAGGCGAGGTTTGACAAATCACTAAGTTGTGAAAGGATGGCGTTTACTGGAGCAAGCATGCACCGCACCAGTATTGACATTTGCAAGTAGTGGGGCAGAATGCTTTTGGAACGGTGATGCAAGCGGATGAATGGAGGGTGTGTAGTGTTGGCAGCTTGGTTTGACCGCCGAGAATGTGCAAGTGGTTAGCTGGTGCCTGATGCAGCCTATTGCATGGTAGAAGGGAGTTTGTGGAGTGGGATGATGGATGGAAAGGGGGAGAAGGTAGTTGGAACATGGTGAAATAGATGGACACGAAGGTCAGGAGCATTGGGTGGATGTAGTGAGCTGCCTGTCGTGGCTGTAGACGAGAGACGATGCGGTTGTGGAGAACTCAAAGCAATAACGTGAATGCTGCATCGCAGGCATGGAGGTTGGCATCGACTTGAAGAGTTGAGGCCAGCTATGTCGCTCTCTTGTGACGTGCATGGAATGGCATGGTCAAGCCAATGAAGAATTCCATGTCAGATGTGACTTTTGCTTGGTTATGAGGTGGTTGACATGGTATACAACCTACCTCCTTGGAGAATTATAATTGTCAGCCTTAGCCAAACTGTGGAGTTAACGAAGCTTTAATCATTTCCAATGCCATAATTCAGCTATTTTGTTGTCCATTTCTAGCTATTATGTCTTAACGCGGCCAAAGGACGCATTGTGAAAGTGGAAACACTCCTTGACTGCCTTTAGCAAACGGACTGAGATTGACGTCTGTCCATTCCACGTTTTGCGGAAGCGAAATTAACAAAAAAGCAACACTAGCCTGAAGCTGTCTGGAAAAGTTTGCCTCGGAGCTGCCATTTTAGCGTACATGTGATGCCTCCTTTACATTGTTACTGAGTGCGAGTAAACTTTATAGATATGGCTAGGCAGTGTTGGTGAGAACAAAGCAGCGACCTTAGCCTCACCAAACTACTTAAAATCCTGTCCTTTCTTCAATGCCTGTTAGACCAGTGTTCGTACGACCAGCAACGGCCAGCACATCTTTCCTCTAAGCGTCCCAAATAAAATTATCAAACAGAGCAAAATCCCCATCTACAGAATTACCAAAGTATAAATTTTGATGACTGATGCAATTGGTTTAGATTATTCTCTTAACAAATCAGCTACGTTACGATGGCCCAAGCTAAAGGCTAAAGGGAGAGTAAAATCGTCTTTCCAAAATAGAGCCCCATATAAATTTGGTTTCCCAAGCACTCAAGGTGAAATGGCGTCTGGGTCATGTCAGCAGCCCTTGACTCCCCCACCTGTCAAAAACCTAATCTGGTCCAACAATAATGACTTCTTCCGTCTTCTAGAAGGAATAGTGGCGCTATAGGTTTAAATACTATCGTGAAAAGCATTTCATCATTTAAAGTATGCTCTAATAAATCTACATTCGCTAAATTCAACGGGGCAACAATGCCCCGCCGTCCCATTTCGTGAGGGTAAACAAATCTTCACTACTTTGTTAACTAAAAATAGACCATTTAAAATGTTTTTAATCGCAAGTATCCAATGCAAAATCCGTGCAGTAGGGAAAGTTGGACAAGGCGAAATTGAAGTTCAGACAACAATACCCCAGAAGCGTCCCAAATGGGTCTAATTATGGGAATTAGTGTTAGAAGTCATTATTTTAAATATTAATGAAACCATCTCTCCAACCTTAGTCTGTGTAGAGTAACTTTTAAATATTTAGCATTGCAGCGACCCGAGCCACGCCTGCATTCGTAATAAACCATGCCAGTACGGAAGACAATCTATTATTAACGCCGAGGAGAATTGGGAGGCTGAAACCACGACTAGAGGACCACACTGTCAAGAGTGAAGTAAATATCACAAAGTTTAAAACGATAATTACACTACAGCTACATGAATGTTACGCTTTAATCGTTCATCCAACCCCACCATTTTATAGCGCGAGTAATTAAGATTAACGACTTGTACCGCCAATCGGCAGCACTGCCTCCTGACCGGACTGATGACACCAGGTTCATGCATTCTACCATTACCCCACAACTTCATTCTACTTCAAACACGATCCAAGCTGCTAAGATAACCTCGGTAGGTGTGACTCGTTCATATAAAAAGACCAACAAATGAAAGAGTATGAAATCGTTTCCAGTTTCGATTCTGTGGTTAAAGTGAAAACCCAGTTTTGAATGTTATCATAATAACCTCATTTTTAAAAATAAAAACCACAGGCATATGCACTCCTTAATATTGGACAGATTGGTTTCAAAAAGAAACAATGAAAACAAGCTAACAAATAGTGAGCTTGGCCGAACGATCACACTTACGTATGGTAATGAGCAATGTCAAAGGATAGAGGTAAATAGCCGGCAGTAGTAGCATCCAATATGAAGGAACGTCGAGAAGTAGTAGTCAGGATGAATCTCATTGTAAAAGTGGTGTTGATGAGCTGAGAGCAGAAATGACTGAATGGACGGAAAGCCATCCTCAGCACAGCCCAGCAACCGAATTTCGCAGAGGATGAGAGCATTACTGACTAACGAATTGAACTCAGATCCCAACCCACTACTAAAATCGGCGAAAAATAGCAAAATATTCTAGCATAAGTGTGTTATTTCGAAACGCCTGACGATATTTACATTTACGACAAGAGACAAAGAATGAGTGTTAAAACTTGAAATCCTTGTATTTCTTGGCTGCTGGAGGTCCACCCGTGCTGGTGGTGCCCGAACTTGAAACAGTTCCTGTCTTCTGCTGCGACTCGGCTCCTGCAATTCGTTTTCTTAGCATTTTTTCGCGAGGATCCTCGGCCTATAAAAAAAAAGACGCTGAGCCGAGTCCATGTATTAATGCCGCAAAAGTTCCTGAAAACGCAATAGTTCTGATTCGATTCAAATTGCAGACGCACTGATGGTAGCTCAGCATGCGAGCTCCTCATTACCCTGTGGATATGGATTTGTGAATATTCTACAGGTATTTTTTCAAGGACCTGACACAACATCCCAAGTAAGCACCCAAGAATTTGAGTGCTGTAGGTATACGGCAATCAAGGATGCTCCGACACTCAAGAAAATGTCAGATTTCTATGCACTTTAACAAAAACTTGCATAGCCTAATTTCTAACATGAACGAATGAAAATTTCCGACATTGCATGCTTGTATTCCTTTAGCTGGCTTAGTATTCGAGGAATGCCAAATTTCACTTTACGAACACCAGATGATCCAGAACAGGACATGAAGCTATGAGGAGAGAGTAGAAAAGGCTTGTCTCATTCTGTAATGACACACTGAAGTCCGAGGCCAATGAGCGTCATTTGATGCAGCAACAAATTACATTCCTGAAGAGTGACGAACAGACTTAGAGATGCAAATATGTCTTCTGAGTTCAGATTTAGAAATCAGACAAAAGCGAGACCAGTTTGTACTCAAGTCAACGAGCTTCATCACAGTCAGAACGGAATCGAGTTTTTCTAATACCTTTCCAAGAATATCAGAACGGTCATTTATCAGGAAAATCCATCATTATGCCGCATCTCCAAAAGATACCTTCAGGTAAACAAGTTTGGTACTCTTGGATAGGCATTTTAATTAAGGTACCATTTTTATCCATTTAGATCACACCAAATTTACGAAAAATAAAAGCATCTACTGAAAGACCGTAAGTAGAGCTATTCCATACTATTCAACTGATAATAAGATTTCCGGTTTTACAAAGGTCATCAAACTCGAATGCGCAAGACGTCAAAAAACGTAACAGAACCAGCGTAAAGATCTACCTCTTCCCCGCGAGGAGCACCTGTCACACCAGTAACATCATAAACTCGAGTTGACCCAACCATTGCTGATGGTTGCAGGGCCGTCTCGCGCTCGGGTAACACCCGATAGAGCTGACCAGCAGCCAATCCAGTTCCCGGTGCAGGTGTCTCAAATCCGGATGCATTGTCCATAGCCGCCTCGATGGTACGCTTTCGCAGTTCTATGTTGCTCGTATTCGTTGTCCCTACAGCGGCCGCAGCAGCCGCCACCGTCGCTGGTGTCTCTGCACCGATAACGCTAGAGACTGCTCCACTTGGTGTAATTAGACTGAAACAAGAAGGAAGAAATAAATGGGAATTCCCAGCAGTAACCAAGAGAGCATAGCCAGGAACTCCAACTTACCCAGAGGCAGGAGTGACCAAACCACCCAAATCAATGCTGACCTTCTCAATGGGTTGAATCATTTCAGTAGGGGGACCAGTAAGACCTACCGCCTCTCCCTCAGCACCTTCACCTGCCTCACCAGTCTTATCCTCATCTTCTTCAGATTCGTCTTCTTCCTCCTCTTCTTCTTCATCAGATTCAAGCTCACCCCAAAGACCACTCTTCCCGAGACCTGAGATCACGGGTTCCTCCGGTTCTGCGGGTCCACCGGTAGGTGGTGGCGGTGGTGGAACACCTGCCATGTTGCCACCGTTACCAAAGACGTCGCCATAAATCGGACGCCCCATCTCGTCAACGGGAGGTTTGCCCCAACCTCCAGGATGGTAGCCAAATGCGCAGCCAGGAGGTATGGGTGCATTGAGGCCAGGAATGACTACGTTGGGGTAGGAGGGTGGAGGGCCGTAACGCTGCATCGCGATCAACCACGGTGGTGGATAACGGTCGGCATTCTATAATGAACAAAGCAGAAATTTGGACGGATTCATTCACGATGATTACATTGGCACCATTGCTAATCAGTTCAATTAATCTTGAGCATCTACTCATCATACGATAGTTTCTTCGCTAATACCTTTCCTATTGCACATTTTACCGCACTTTTCAGTCTGTTTTAGTCATGTACCAAGCTGATGACAAGGAAATCAGTTAATACTACTACCAGATTCATAAAAGGCTTCGGGAATACCCTTGACGCCAGTTTTGTGTGAAATAGGGCTTGCTATAGCAATCAATGGTTCTGACTTACAAGATTCCCTGAGGTTCTGCGTTGTAAGCAAACGCCTGCATGCAATATTTTAGTACATAGAACCACACCTAGACACAGAACGTGGATAAATTCTCTAAGGAGATTTAATGGCCTTATGAATGTTGAAGATCTGACAGCCAGTGAAAGTATCCATCAAAAGATTAGTAAATCCAAACTACTCCTAAAATAGATTCCACAAAAGTTTTCGCTAATTGCTTAGAAATAGTAATTTTCTTCAAACAACAGGCAGCACAAACTGCACTCAGGGCCCAAGCAGCGCCATAAACCATTGCACAAGTTTTTTACGCATGAGAACTGCGAAAAATATTGAAAAGGGAACATTACTGGCCCAGTTGGGAGACCCAACGCTGTCCGCAACTCATCCGACAGATTACCCGGCTTTTTCTCCTTCAGCTTCACCTCAAACTCTTTTCCTTCATAATAAAGATCCCCATGACTCGTCAATTTTGGCTTTGTTTGGTACTTGAAGAAAGCATCGTGTAATTTTCGGTAGTCGATATCCACTTTACCTATCTTGGGCCGAATTTTTTCTCTCATCCTTGTTTTTAGTGACTTTTCAGCGTCCTATGAATGCAAAATACAAACATTAATAAATCAAGGAAGTAGACTAGTGAGCAATGAGACAAATGAGTGCATATGTGAACAGCTAAAACTAGGACCATCAGAGATGGAAAAAACATAATATACTGCGAACTACAACTCCCCTGCAAATCATAACTGCATAAGAGAGCACTAGCTAACCTTGTCAGAAACGGTTTGACGCATCTCCATGATTCCTGTGCGCGCAATAAATTCAGGTAGCCGAAAAGGTGGTTTTTCAAACCCTCTCTTGCCTTGAAGATATTTTCTCTTAGCGCACCAGTGCTTGGGGACAGGAACAGTGTTACGGTAGGATTTCAGGTATACTAAAAGCATCGGATCCTTGGCACAAACATCCCACATTTCAACCACATCTGGGCGAGCAGCAGCCTGTTTTAGGGAAGCCACAGAGGGACGATTCAAAAGCTTTAGTTTCTTCTTGCTCAACGGCTGTTCTTTATTCCCATCGGCATCATCGTCGTCATCGTCTCCACCGCCCTTCCGATCACCTTTTTTTTCTGACTTTTTAGCACGAGCAGCTGCCTCTTCTGCTAGAAGGGCAGCAGTTCGGGCTTTTAGACTCGGCTGATCCGGCGTAGTTTTAAATGGGTCTCCAGTTAGACCAAAATCAGCACCGATCCTCTCACCATCTGTAATTCCATCCCTCATATCATCGGAATCATCGAAGACAAGCTACCAGAAATTTGAAAGACACAATAAGCAAGCAAAACATTATCAGTGCGATACAGTGCTATTTTCGAGCAAATAGCTTAGATAAGAGGAAAAGTGCCCACACAAACAATAAGACGTACTTTGAAGCGTTCAAATGGACCTGTAAGCTCAAACACAGGATATTCCTTGCGAGGAACCTCCTCAACTCTATCCTTCGCCTCATTAACTGACTCGAAGTTAGATGTAGCAGAATCAGTGCAAGCATCCTGAACAACACGCTCGGCTCTTTTCCTTTGCTTTGAAGCCTTTTTCTTCAGCTTTTTCTTGCGATTTCTCTCCTGTTGACGGGTTATAAACGGCGGAACAACTTCATTTTCAACGACAACCCCGTCAACTACGCCATCCTCGAGAACAGCCATCTTGGAACCTGCGGTTTCTCCACAGCACCTAACCAATGAAAATCGGAGGCGGAAAGTCGAGAAAATCCACCGGGACCAAAAATGCCCCTAAAGGCATAAATCTTTATTATTTTGCATATTGAAAGAAAAAAATTAATACTGTCAGCAAGTCAGCATTATTACTTATTTTTGAATGATTAAACATTTAGAACTTTTGTTTCTAGTGATGCACTCCTAATGTTTAGGCAGCGGGATAATACTATTATATTAATGCTACATTTTTAGCGGAAACTCAGAGCTTGTTTTAACCATCGTAGATCTGGCCTTTTATTTTGATTGGTTGATGCTCTTCTCGTTCTTGGGGCTTGGTCGTGGTTAACGCTGTTTGTTCGGTAGCGTAGTCATTCCGATGCCTCCAAAGCGTAATCGTCGAAACATCAGCGGTAGTGAAGAGAACGACGTTCCTATCAAGTCTCAGCAACGTAATGACATCCCTAATGATGAAGTTTCGAAGCAAAAAGGGAGGAAGAACCCGGCTGCCGATAAACGGAAAGGCAAGAAGAAGCCCATGGGTGATTTCAATGTTGATGGGTCTGACGGAGAAGTCAGTCAGGTTTCGAAGGATACAGATGAGGTAAAAAAAGGGAAGGCCTTCAAGGGCAAAAAAGATCGTAAACGCTATGACCATGATGATGATGTCCAGGAGCCCCGAGAAGTCAAGGATGATGAGACGGAGTTCAAGTCGGTTGGAAAGAAGCAGAAAGGAGGTAAGAAGAAAGACGTAAACTATCGCAGCGATGAGCCCAAGGACGTTGTTACTACTACCCACACTCACTGTGGCTTTGAAATAAACGAACCTGATGCAGAGGATGATCTAGACGAAGACTTTTATAAGAAGAAGCGGAAATCGGGTCGTGGAGGGAAGGTCCAAGAAACTCAACAGCAACAGGCTCCTAAAAAGAAAGGTGGTAAAAAATGGCAAAAGGGTCATCGTGGTGATGATTGGGGGGACTCTGAAGAAGAAGAAAGAAAATTGGCAGAAAAGCTAGCGGATATAGGGCTTACGGTCAATGAAGATGCTCAGGTGGATGAGTATGATATGAATCAACCCAAAAAGAGAGGAAAACAGAAGAAAAATAAGCGATCTGAAGTTCCCCTCGAACCTAAAGACGAATCTAGAGCGGAGGATCTGTCCTCTTCTGTGGAACGTAATGCAAAGCAATCAGAGAAGGGTAAAAAGAAAAGATTTGCTGAAGTAGAGGTTAAGGAGCCTATTTCAAATGCTTCAGAGGCTCTCGTTGATGCTAAACGAAGTAAAGCGATGTCAGAAGAGAAACAGCAGAATGACTCGATGGAACCTGGATTGTTGGCAAAGGAAGAGAAGAAAGAGTCTGAAGTTGAGCCAGTAAATGTGGCGGTAGGAGAGGTGCTTCAGGGAGCTGCAACCGAGCCCATGAAGGTGCCAAAGTTGTCAAAGAAAGAGATGAAGAAGCAGAAGAAACGCGCTGACTTCGCCAAATTGGTAGAAATTGCCAAAGAAAATACTCTAGCCAATGCGGGCACTCTAGATAACTTCTCCGTATCACAGGTTTGCCTAGTCCTTTTCATTGTTCATTATCGGTTTTGTATTGCTTGTAGTTCACTGTTAAATTTAAGTTGTTTCGTGTAACTACGCATTTGTAAATGGAGTCAATCAATGTTTTTCGTTGAACTTTATTTTGTACTTGTGCTCAGTCTCGCTCCCTTGTTTTAAAAATGTTGACAGTTGTGAAGCTCTCTAGCTTACTAGGCACTGAATAATGCATTCAGTAACCGAAAGCAATTATTTTTTGTTTATAATATTTAACATGTGTGAGTGTCCCATAGCTATCTGCGGATGTAGCCATTTTCACTTAGTCTATTCCCTTCTCCTCATGTTCACTCGGTCTATTACAAGTGAAGTTTGTGAACTTTAGGTATCGGTCTCGTCGGATGTTGCGGTTCTTGATGCTATTTAGACTTGTCAAAATGTGGTGTTCGTTAACAGTCACAAATGCCTTCATTGGAACCACCTGATTTTGGTGCCGCAAACCTATGATTGCTGGTAAATTCGCGTATGAATCTAGCATGTGAACTGGTCGCAAGGCCTAACTTCTGTTAGCAGATCGTTGAGTCTTTTTTTTTCGATTAGCGTATCGGTCAGCTTCTTCAGCTTACTCCATCGTCTCCTCATAGTGCAACACTTGACGCACTTGTCTGGTCTTCCCTAGCCTATCTTCTTTGCGCTGTGCTACCCACTTCTGAATGCTCTGTTTGAGTCAATTTTGGCTGGTCGATGCGGTCCAATCCCTAATTAGTTTGCACCACGCCTTACTGATTCAGCGTATTGTTCGGCGACAGGATTCTCTTTAAAATTTACGCTTCCCCCCTGACTTGTAAGCGTGAACGTGCCAAAACCAAAACTTAGTAGCTGTGCTCCTCTCTTTGCAGGCAGCAGGCAAGACGGTTCTAAATGAGAATCAGCTAGACATTAAAGTCGAGGCGTTTTCGCTCTCTGCCAAAGGCAAAGATCTATTTGTGAACGCCTCCCTCCAGATCACTCATGGTCGCCGCTACGGTCTCTGCGGTCCCAATGGGTGAGTCCCTCTTTTTACTATTTCTCTAGTTCTACCTAGCCAGTGGGATCGTAATTTTTCCTGATAGAGGTGACTATGATTGTTTCAGAAGTAATGTCATTAAGCCGCTAGAACTTGCGAGGATGTAGCTATGTATCTATGTGAATTTTTTTGCATTTTACTTTGAAACAACCCCGAGAATCGGTTTTCAGATGTTCTCTTTCTGTCACTTGACTATCGTAACAAAACGGTGGCATTAGATAAATTCATGTGTATGATGACTGAAGTCGTCCTGTGTTGAATGGACCAAAAGGTCCCAAAAACGTCGTATTAGTGTGGCAAGTACTGAACCCTCCGGTTGCCAATTTCCTGTTACCTTTTATGGGGGTGAAGGCACTTGGAAGCTATTTAAGCGTTGTTTTAGGTTAACTGTACCTGCCCCTTGTATCCAATTCAAGAATTCCGCTTTTGTATCATGCTGGAGGTGATTTGGGGAGAAATCGCAAACAATTGCTTCCAATTAACAAATTATAACCATTGTTAACTTTGTGTAGCCATGGCAAAACCACTCTTTTGCGCCATATCGCCGAACGAAAACTCGCCATTCCCTCCAACATTGACATTCTTCTTTGTGAGCAAGGTAAATCTATTGTTGACTTACTAATACCTTCATTCCATCTGGGATAAGGTTTGTAACGCCCGCATTTTTATCCCTTCTAGAGGTCGTTGCCGATGACACGCCTTCGGTTCAGGTGGTTCTTAACTCAGACACGAAGCGGCTAAGTTTGATGCAAGAGTTGGAGGTACTGCGAGAAAAGGTTGAAACTTCGCACGATGCGAGCGCTCTCGACCGCTATAATGAAGTGTGTTTCACCATTCCCACATTAAACACGCCTACTATGTGATTTTGAGTAAGATCGTCTTTTTTCCTTACTAGGTGCATGAAGAGCTAGTTGCTATGAGGGCGGACGCTGCGGAAGGCAAGGCGCGCCGCATCTTAGCTGGTCTCGGATTCACTCCTGCGATGATGGAAAAGCCTACAAAGGATTTATCAGGTGGTTGGCGGATGCGTGTCAGTCTGGCGCGGGCGCTTTTCCTTGAACCCACGCTTCTACTTCTGGACGAGCCTACCAACCACTTAGATCTTAATGCCGTTATATGGCTTGATAAGTAAGTGCGTTGGATTTCATGGATTCGGTTGATTTAGTTATCTGCAGAGTTGGAAAAAGACACTTCTTGTTGTGTCTCACGACCAGTCATTCTTAGACAACGTCTGCACGGACATTATCCACCTGGATCAGCGGCAACTCTTTTACTATCGTGGCAACTACGGTAAAAATGCATCATCCATTAGTGTCTCAACTCATTTTCTTACATTATCAACAAGAATTATTTCCTTACAGATCGTTTTAAGACAATGTTGGCGCAGAGAAGGCGCGAACAAATGAAGGAGTATGAGAAACAAGAGAGACGTTTGAAGGAACTAAAGCAATCTGGAATGAGTAGTAAGCAAGCTCAAGCGAAGAATCAACGTGAAGCTCTCACTCGCAAGCAAGCAAGAGGAAAGGGCGCTCAGAACAACGGAGAAGGCGGATCGTCTGACGCCAAGCAGCTGCTTGTGAAGCCAAAGGACTATGTTGTCAAAGTGGGTTGTGTTGTTCTTTGGCACATGATTCATTGGTAGTACATTGCTAGCATCTAGTTTCTCTTTCAGTTTCACTTTCCCAATCCCCCTCCGCTTAATCCTCCAGTCCTTGGTCTCTTCAACTGCAGCTTTGGCTACCCAAATCAGAAACTACTTTTCAAGAATGTTAATTTCGGTGTCGACTTGTCCACCCGTATCGCAATTGTTGGCCCAAACGGTGTTGGCAAATCCACATTTATTAAACTTCTTACTGGAGAACTCACTCCTACGGAAGGCGAACGAAGGATTAACCATCGAGCCAAAATTGGAAAGTATGATCAGCATTCAGCGGACCAGTTGAATCTCTCTGAAACTCCTGCGCAGTATCTTATGCGCCTGTTCAATCTCACCATCCAGGTAGGGTAAAGCTTTTTGTTAAATAACTTGCTGAAATGAATTGGGTTGTGTTGAATCAGTACCATTTCAGGAAGCAAGAGGCACATTGGGCAAATTTGGATTGGATAGTCACGCCCATACTATTCCAAACGCCGACCTCTCCGGTGGTCAAAAAGCTCGTGTCGCTTTTGCCGAGCTCTCGAAACGTGCGCCCGACATCCTCATCCTTGATGAACCCACTAACAACCTGGACATTGAGTCTATAGATGCACTGGCGGAGGCTATCAACAATTTCGAAGGTGGTGTAATTATAGTGAGTCATGACGAACGCCTAATTCGTGACACAGACTGTATTCTCTGGATCATTGAGAATCAGGACATCGACGAAATTTGTGGAGATTTTGATGACTACCGGCGGGAGATCTTGGAGGCCTTGGGCGAGGAATTGGCGAATCCGAGCAAAGTTGCAGCAGCTGCTGGATGTCTAGATTGATTTCTTCCCTTCCCTCCTGTACCTTTGTCTTCTTGTCTTTCATTCCCCTCTCCCCCGTCTGTGCCTGCGTGACTAATCTCCATACCAGTTTATACAGCCCCCTTGATTGGCAGCGATTTCGTTCATTTTTCCGATTCCATTTTAAGCTGGTGGTGGTGGTTGTTTTTCGGTCCAGTGGTTCGATTTTAACCAGATGTGGGGATTCGTTTTGTGAGGATGAACTTGAATGGTTTGAATAACTTTGTGTGAGTTGAATATTTTCCCTTCGCACTTATTAGTGATCGTTTTTGCCATTTTGACGTTAATCAGTTGCGACAATGTTAATGGCCTGGAGAGTTAGGCCTTATTGCTCCCGGTCATAGCGTCCTCAAGATGTTCGCTCCCTATCTTGATGTGCATTTTAAACCTCGACCTTATTCCTATTCTGCGGTCATGACCTTTTTCTTTGCCTGCCTATGATTACTTGTTGCATAAATATCGTACCAGAAGCAACGTAACTGTGTTTAAAGTCCTGAGATAAATGCAATCTGTCATTGAGTCGACGTTAATCAAATTTTTATGACGGATTGATTAACTTTTTAGAATCTGAAAGTGAACACTTATTCATCATGTTAGCACGTGATCGGTGGCGTTGCCTCAACAGCTCATCAAATGTGGAAGTCTCAAACAGCAATACGTGGCAACTAGGGTGTGAGAGGTTCGAAGTAACCGATCGGGAAATGTGCTTTTACAATTCACAGCATCTGATTAAGGGTGTGGAATCTGTTTCCGTAGCTGTGTGAAGTTGCTGCGTGGCAAAATGTGCTACAAGTACCCGTTGCTATTTATGGAGGCTTGCAAAAAGCTGGTCCGTAGGCGCGGTAAGAGGATGTGCATTAGTCCCTCGCGGTTCGATACTGCTTCTCTCCCTTATACTGATTTGATTTTTACCTCACGAAGTGTTTTATGAATCTGGTGGATGGGATTTGGGATCGCAAAATCGTGTAGCCAATCCCTGAAAGTGGATCGTTGTATGTCGCATATCACTTTTGTGCCTGGACTGGATGGAGGCGTTGGAGAATAACGGCAAGCTTCTGTTAAGTGCTAGTTTTGTACACATTGTTGACTGACTGCAATGCTCTTAGAGCTCTGAAGGCTAAAGAAATAGTAAAACCCAGATGTGATGTCTCGCCAAGCAAAAAGAGGGACTAATGCCAGGAGATCTGGTGGCGATGGGGTGGTGAACACTCAGATTTGACCAAATGAATTGAGTTGCTAGCGCGTTGCATGGTTCTCCTTTCCGTACATTTTTGCTGCCGTTCATGCATCAGCCGTGGCAACGGGATCTGTGATGTTGTTAATGTAGTCGAGGACAAATCTTAACACTTATCGAATCCTTGCCCAACTAATCAGGTATCCAACCGCAACGCCACCCATCCCTCCTGATCGTAAAGTTGGAGCTGATGTTTCGTCCTACTTAGGGATTGTAGCAGGGAAAAAATGCGTAACTCTTTGCTGGAACTAGAGGTCGAATTCCGCGACTGTTTCGCCTTACCACTCCGTTTTTGCTAAAGTGGCTAATGGAAAGGTGGTGTTGTGCGTCCATTTCACTGATATTGTTGCGTCGGCGCCATCGGTAGCTTCACAGCCGTTTCCTAGGCAGTTTGCGATCGATGTTATTTAGCTATCTTATAGCACTCCCCAAGAATATGGAAATGGAGGGATTGTCACTGGAGGACATAATTTTTGACTATTCTGCCAAATGTCATCATTGTTTTCCGTTTACTGGTCGGTACCTCTCCTCCTCCCTACTAATGCACATAGTCCAACGATGGAAATGAGGAACAGGTCTGCTTTCTGTGAAGGCGCAAGGTCACACACCGCCCCAGCAAGGCTGCTGTCAAGCTCCAGACTGTTCGCTAGGAGATACGATTGCTCAAGATTTTGCTAGTCCATTACGGAAACTGATAGGTGAACAAGCATTGAGTAATCTATGTACTCTGAAACAATTCACTTCCACACCCAGACAACTCCTCTTTCTATCGAAAGTAAACTTGACATAAGATTGCTGTGATATCACATCGCAAGATCGTGCATGAAACTGCCCCTTGGTGAGTGCTCCTTTTCTAGGGTTGACCGCTTGGGCTTACCTCAAAGACACGAAAGAACTTTGCATTATAGTTGATCGTAAGGTCTCTCAGTTCCTTCAAGAAGCCAAAGTTTTGGTCACATCCCACAATCGGCTGACACTCAAGCCTGTCGTGAAGTCAGCATGAGAGTGTCTAGGATCTGAATTCAAAAATCCCCCCAACCAATGGCCGATTTGCCAAAATCGCATACAATTATTTATTTATTTATTTGTTTATTTATTTATCACTTTTACTCCAAATCCAAAAATGCAAGTAGACATTGAACAGTTTGCCAAGTATGCGCCTCAAAATTCATCATGGAAGGGGTACTCCGGCAAATCAGCCCACCTGAAATAGGCAAGAGCACCAATAAGTGAAACACAATGCAAAAGTTTGCAATCATCAGCTACAAAGGTTGAGTAAAATGGAAACTGACGATTTCAGTGCAAATCTTCGACACTGATTTGGCTCCGCGGCATTCAACTTTGCCAGTTCGTCCGCAGAGAGTTCAAAGTTGAAGACCTAGGAGGGGTTACAAAAAAGACTTGGATAGAAGGCAATGGAGGGGTTGAAGGAAATGATGAGGACCAAATCCGACTGCCTACGTCAATGTTCTCACAAATGCGCTGAGGTGTGCCACTCTTGGGAATGACCACGAGACCGCGCTGAATGCCATGGCGGATGAGGATCTGGGCGGGTGTTTTGCAATGACGTTTGGAAATCTCAACCACGCATGGAATCTCCAATGGATTTGGAAGCTCTCTTTACGAAAAATTGACCACGAATCAGCCACAACGAAAAAGAAGTCAATTTAAGCCAAAGAAAGATGCAACAAAATCACAATGTCTCGCATACGGTGAAGTTCCTGGCGATCCAAAGGGTGCATATCCAGTGACTACTAAGCCTACTGAGTGCGCATATTCAACTAGTTTTTCATTGAGGAAAGCTATAGACGACTCAATCTGTAGCACAGTTGGTTTGATACGCGCCACTGCAAAGATGCGATCAATCTGAGCGCGGTTGAAGTTGGACAAACCAATGCTGCGCACCAAACCAGCGTCTACTAAAGCCTCCATGGCTTTCCATGTGTCCTCCAAGGTGAATGGTCCACGTTGGCCACAATCACGCTACAAGTGGAAGAACAGTTGAAGAAAAACAAGGATGACTGTTAGGATTTGGGACGAGGGGGCTAACTGGTTGAAAGACTTTTAACCTCCGCGATTCGATTACTATTACAACTTGGCGTCTTTAACCCCTAAAGTGAGATTAGAAACGCTGACATTGCACGAATGCACCCAACGATAAGGACAAGCGCGTCCCAACATAGTGCAAACACATTTGGTCGAAAGGGCAAACAGCACTCCTTACGTAAGCTACTTGTGTACCTCAAGAAGAGTTTAAGCATAATGCGTAACAGCAAAGTAGAACTACGGTCACTAGTCAGTGGGTCAATGAAGGACGTAGTGGGAATGGTTGTATTTCCGATCTGTAGACCTCCTTTCAAGCAAACAAAAGTTATCGTTGCAAATAGACATAGCGAAAAATACGGTTGTTCACAATCCCTAACTACTGGTCCACGATGGAAGACACCTCTGTACCTCCAAAATAAACATTGCCTTCAATATTTACCAGGAAATTACTTCTGAAAACGAAAAGTCATGTGTTTCAAGGTGGTTGAAAACTCAGTTTTGTGATGCATTCTAAAAAAGCCCATTTGGGAGAAGAACTCCAAGTGCACACTTTCCAACCAGTTGGCCCTAGCAGGAAGGACCAAACACCTGCGTCCAACCAACATAAAAAGTAGTAGTAGAAGTAGCAATTTCCGAGTAAACCTCAAGGGTCTGCCCCCACTTCTCGTATGTCATAGAAAACATTTGCCCACCTAGTTCCGTGCTTTAAAGTCGCTCTTGAAATATAGTCAATTTCTTTAATAAGCATATCCAAGGGGATAGCTATGCTTTATTACATGTATTCATCGATGTTTTATCCATTTCTGGATGGAATTAACTTGTCGCCCGTACAAAAAGAATCTGTTAATTTAAAATGCCAGAACGAGTAAAGCTTTTAAGCACATAATTTCCATGAATATCCGCTTGCTGAGACTTTGAAAGATCATCAATTCATTTATTATTACAACGATACAAGTTCTTCATTGTTGACGATGAAGGGGAAACTGAGTTGGCTAGAAAATATTGTGCGAGTTCATCACTCATAACCAAACCTTCTGTAGCGTTGACTTACGAGCAAAAAGTGGTTAATGGAACTTTAGAGGTGTGACTTCTGTTTTGATTGTTCGGTTAGGTCATCAGGATTCTTGGCTTTTGTCTGACTTATGATGACGGATGGGAAGGTGGATGAATTGATTCATAGCTACGGGAGGTAGACCACCTTCTCGATTCCAATAAATGAGTGACATCACGTTCCATCAACTATTAAGTCCTTTCTTTCTAGGAAGCAGACTAACTGAAAATACAGTAACTGAGAGGTAGGTATATTGACATTTGACGTAGCAATTCCACATAACATTATAAGCGTTTATGCTTTTTTTTCGATTAGGCCCTGCTGCAGCAAACAATTAAGACGAGATGAGTCATAAATATGGGTATGGACTTACTGACAAATGAACGGGCCAATGTACAAGGTAGAGGTCCACATAATCCAGTTGCAATCTACGCAAACTTGCTTCACATGCCGGTCTCACATCATGCGGATGATGTTCTGTGCCCCAAAGCTGCAGAAAACATTCGACCATTATTGTTAGGTGGAGTACAAGTTTCCGCTACCATTTACGAATTCTCGTCCCCATAATAGTTTCCTAACCTATTAGGTTTCAAGAGAATGGCCTTAGCTACGACATCTACAATGACTACGTTACGCCCTGTCACTTCAATTTAAAAACAGCAAAATTTTCATGAGTGAACGCTTCAGAACCTCCGCTTATATCGGTCATATTCTGAATTTAACCTCTGTAAAGGTTGTTTCATAGGCTACTCCTAATTTCTAGCACGCGCTTGCCAAAAAGTAACCGAATACTAAGCAAAAAGTTTGACAGGTTCAATGTAATAACAACCAGTTATCTCAGCCCTCATCTTGCCGATATTAGTCAGAAAACTTGGATCCAGACCTAGAATGTCCTCCTGAACTGTTCTGAATCAGCTCCGGACAAGCAGGTCATATGGGTAAAGTCCAACAAACTCGCTTCGTTTATCCAATAATGAATCATGATAAAGGACAAGTACCCACTCAATAGCTATAAAACAGAAAACAATGAATAAAAGAACGAAGAAAGCCACATGGCGGGACTTGTCGGCTGGCAATAATATGCATTTTATCGTTAAAATACTTACGTTAATGATGCGACAATTAACCTTCGTACAATGAAAATCGTCATCCCACCAAACCATACGTGTTATGAAAAATTTGCGAAGTATAATTCGACCAATATAAGAGAAAACCAGGCGCCATGACTACACGACTGTAAATCTACCTTAGTGGTGATGAAGATGTCCTCTCTAGCGATCCCCATTTCAGCCATTTTCGACTTTAACGCGGTACCTATTTGTGCCTCGTTGGAGTAGATAAAGGCTGTGTCGATGTGTCGGTAACCAGCGTCGAGAGCAGTGGATATTGCTTGCTGCACAAGTGCACTATCAGTGGTCTGATAACACAACACCGGGAGAATTTACAACCATAATGCTTAACAAAGTTTCAACGGATAATAAGAACGCAGTTACCTTAAAGGTACCAAGCCCAATGGAAGGGATCTTGCACCCATTTGAAAGGTCCAAAAGAGGCGCACACACGGGCATCTTATAAGAGATGGTTATAAACATACTTCAGGGAATAATGACTAAAAAGGTGTCATTATCTTATTTCTCAAGGTAAATTTTTTTGCTCCACCACGTCTCGAATAAATTAAATCTGATATATAGAAAAGCAAAGGAATCATCTGCCTTACAAGTGCGATAAAACATTACCAAGTAAACAGAACGCACCATTAGTTCAAGAAAACCATCAAGCGCAGGAGAATATGTATGAAAACCGATGAGTTCACCGTACTTTTAAACGTACCTTTTATACTCAGCTCAAGGGCAACACAACCCTGACAACTTACAACTTCAATTGAATGTGTCGGAGATCACCGTGGACCAGACAAACAAATGCTTAAAAAGTAAATTGATTGGTATGTAACACAATACTTAAGTCATTTATTTGCTTTCAAATTATCTTTTCAATCTAAAAAGATACTTTAGCTCGTGCTTTTGTTCTGTGACTTGCACGTCTTTTGAAAATACAACCTTAAATTCTATGCTTTCATGAGATGCAATGCTGCCTTTTTAAACTCTACTTTTATACAAAAATTTATAAATTCTTCATTTTGGATTTTTTTGCACTCTCTCATCTTTTGCCAAATACATCGTTGTTACGCCCTTATTTGAGTTAAAACTTATTTGTATGTCTCTCTGCTCGTTCTGTATTTTAAAATTTATTTTTGATGGTTTGTGCTCGTCCCGTGCTGGTGGCGGTCTATTTGGTAGTTAGTTGGCTTTGGGTTTTGTTCAATGCCATTGCCTCCGGCTTTAGCAGCACGTCTGGCTAAAAGAGGCCTCTTGGACAGATCCAAAAGTGAAGGCACGTACTCCATTCTCTTGGTCTTTGTTAGTTTTAATGGCAAATTTGGTTTCATTTTTCCTCATTGTAATGCTTGGTCGTAGTTCATAAGTCTTGGGTTATTCTTAATGAGAGCATAGATGTCTTTAACCTACACATTAATTGATCATTTCGTATTGTGCACTTACTGGATTAGATGCATATTCCAGTGAATACCTCTCACTTCAGAGGAAGTTTTTGCTGAGAGCTACGACAATGACGGTTCTGGTCCTATTGCTGCTACTGTCAAAGGGATCAGTCCCGTCCCTATAATTGAGAACGGCACCTTAATCCATGAAATCGCTGCCTGTCCAAATCTTACAAACCCCTATCATGAATGCACCGCCTATTGTTTCGAACGCTACGGTCGCCGCTCTTTCAGAGCCAGCGATCAGCGAATGGGTCGTTTACGGGATCGGATGCTTCGCCGCTATCCTCTTCCAAGTCACTGGCTCGAAGTTGGGGATCCCGTAACCGGTCGGTTTTACTACTGGAACACCGTGACTGACGAGGTTTGTTGGCTATCTCCTCTCCACCCTAGAGCAGTTATCACCAAATCGGCTAGTGTTTTAAAAGCCCAGACACTAGCAGCGAAAGCAGCAGCAGCAGCGGCTTCAGCAGCTGCTCTAGCAGCCGGAGGTTTGGATAGTGAAAGCGGGAGTGAGAAGAGGGAAGGAAAAAGGGACCGGTCGCGATCTCCATCCCCTCCGCCACCCCCACCGACGACTTCGCAGTCCTCGCTACTTACGAATATCATGGCACCGCCTTCCGCCCCACCGCCATCCTATGCTCGGCTTGGAAATAGCGTAAGACGGGCGCCGAAATGTGAGAAATTGTGCTTGTCGAAGTATATTTTTCAGTCGTTGTTTTGGTGATAGGTTCTAATTTTGTCCACATATAACCCTGTGTTTGTGATGCTTTACTGTTCATTATATTGTTCTTACAGCCTTGTTTATCGTGTTATTCGTCCTTTTTAATGTTCATGCATTAAATCACGATAAATGTAAGGCATAAGGTTTTGTTATCCCAATGGCTGATAGTTTTTAGAACAGTTAATTTCGCTGGCAACTTTCTGAGAATGTGAGTGCTTGTGAATTGGTACACTCGTTGATGGTTTAATTCTGTTATCCTTTGTACAATGTTAACACGGGTGAGGCATTGATTTCGACGTCCACTTTAGGTCTACTTCTCGCCAGTTCTAACATTTCACATCGCTAGCAGAGTAGATACAGAACTACCAGGACTGCGATCGTCATTAGCGCAAGGGTGTACTCGCGGCCATCGGTGAAACTTATGCCTTATTCGGCCGAATTTCTTATCACAAAGGCGTCATTAGTTTGTCGTACTACACCTATATAATGGGTTTTTGTACCATTGTTCACCAGCGACTTTTTTTAATATCGCCAGATGCAGAAACCCATTGTCACTGTTCCCGGTCCCTTTGAAGAATCTAATTCAGCCTAACTCATGCAAGGCTCTCCTTCTTGACGTAGGGTACACCGTTTAACTTCCCGTGGTAGCTTTATTTTTGCGTCTTCACTCTAATTTTATTTCTAAGTGCCTGCTGTAATTTCATCCCATTGATATATTCTGTTTCCCCACGGCGTAGTTGAAAAGCGTCGGCGCAGCGGCGATGGCGATGAACCTTTGGATCCGATGGATCCCGCGGCTTATTCGGACGTTCCGCGTGGTGGTTGGACGGCTGGACTAGAGGGCGTCTCGGGGTCTGCGCCTTCCGCAAAAACTGGTGCGGATGTGACCGCCTCTGGCCCGCTCTTTCAGCAGCGCCCCTATCCCAGTCCTGGTGAAGTGCTGAGGGCTAACATGAGACAGCGCCAGGATTAGTTCGCCTCTTTTGCCCCTTAATGTGTTAATAAACCTTTGTTTACTCAAACAGTTTTAGCAGCAATTTTTAAGCAAAGAATGCAGTTTTATGACCTTATTTTGGTGTTAAGTAGTAATGGTCATTCGGACGACTATCTTGGCACTTATGAGGTAATGTAATGGGTGATTGTTGAATCTGATGTAGGAATGACAGAATCGCAATGCTAACGATTAATCTTTTACCATGCCATGCAGCATTTCGTCACCAGAGGTGGCTAAAGCATCTCAGTTGGTGGCAGTAATGAGCAAATTTGATTAGTCTAGCAAACCTCTTATGTGACTGGTCGGGTAACAGAATTTGACGTTATGGGTAGAAGGCTGATGTTTGCTATGAAATGGTTCTGCAATATCAGTTCCTATTCGGCAGTAGGTTATTATTGGTCTGAAAAATGATCACGAGAAGTTCCTCAGATGGGAGGAGTATTTTCCTTTTAATGAAGGCGTAGGGAGCTTCTACTTCAAAGTGTCTGAACTTCTAGACATACTTCTGCTCATTTTGGGGTTTTCGTGAATCTGCAACACCCTCTCTTCTTCTGTAAGGCGTTGTTTAACATTTAATAGAGTTTTATCGTTTTATTGGAGGATTTTTTGTTGGCTATTTTAGTCCAGAGCCTGCCAAGTGCTCATCTACAACTTGTTTACTCGTTTCTACTAACTATATTAAAGTAGTATATAATCCGAATAGGCGAATTGTTCTATGCTCAATTTTTGAATACATCAACACATCCCCCTTGAAAGCACGCTGAAATGGCTAATTGAAGTCTACCAATTGCAGCACAATCTTTACCCGTTGGTAATAAGTTTCCATTTTAGCTCATTGCTTAGCAAGTTTTGAACCAATGTTGCCAGTGTCCCCGTAATATCGCTTTGATCTAGGAAGTGCTTTGCAGTCTTCTATTCAAAAAAAGCCACATTTTAAGGTTTGAGAACGTCGTTTCGACCAGTACTCAGCGTCCTCTTTGGACCTCTATGAAGCTCTTTCCAATCTCGCGGCCCAAGGCTTAGGCTACTTATACGCCAGTGGATGGATAACCACTGAACCGCCGTACCACAACTGTGAAAATAACTTATCAAATCGCACTTCATCATTCTATCATTGCGCTATCCTTGACATTTTCACGACACCTATCCACCACGATTAAAAACTTTGAATAAACTTATTTAAATCCGGACAAAAAGCGGTGCGCATC